CATACACAATGCCTTTTCTCTTTCTTTCTATTTTCTTTTAAATTAATCCAATTTTTGAATTATTCGTATAAAATTTGTATATTTATTTAACAAAATTAAATTGCAGATAAAGATCACAAGATTTGAACGTACCATATGCTTCTTATATGTAGGACCAGAGTCTGTTATGTGATCCTCTAGTCTGAAAACACGTGTCCTCAGCTCGAATACACAAAATACGAAACAGACTAGGTAAAGTCACGTCTAACTGACTCAATAAAAGGCCACCTCGACACGATTGATGACTTGAAAATACAAAGGCCAACATAAAATCCGTTGACAATAGATACAAAGCGTTGAAGTGGTAGTGCAACGTTTTCCAAGCTTCCTTTAAGATGAAGTTCATTTCTCACAAAATGAAACAATTTCTACACAATCTTACTAAGGTCAACTGATAATACTCAAACTAAGATTAACTTAAGTAGTGGATGCGTGTGGTCAAGCATCGTATCGATGCAATGTTCTATTTGCATGTAATCATTTTAACTTATTGGACATCAAACTCGAATCATAAACCAACTCTGTCACATTGTCCCAAAATTATGCATCAACACAAACTCATTTCGGAAAAAAACTATTATATACTTCTCATGAATTTTTATTATTATCCAAACCTAGAGGTAGATTTTTTATTTGTAAAAAATGATTGGAAAAAACGAAACCCTGATCAATCATTTATTTCATTTTCATAATGAATATTTATCACTTATGATTAATCTTGTAAATATCTATTTAATTTTAATAATTTTCAAAGTGTTTAAATACTCGTTTTAATTATTTTATATTAATTTTTTTACAGGTATTTTATATTAATTTTTACTAGTTCATCAACCAAAAACATTTATACCATGTCGGATATTATTTCATCTCTATTGTTCTAGCTTTGTATCAAAATCATAGGCATCATCCTATCTCTGCCGTCGATCTTGCTCACTTTTGTTGGTGTGGCTGATGGAAGGTCAAGATTTACTACAGACATTATTTGTTGAAGTTGTTCACCAGCCCAGGGATTAAGATAAGGTAGATTTTGCCTAACCCAAAAAACAGCACAATTAAATAATAATAATAATAATAAATTTCTGGTATGGGTATTTTCGTCCATTACATTTCGGCGCCTACTGAAACCATAATTACACTCCTCATAATTCTTCTGCTAAGTGACCTAAATCAACATATTTTACCACTTACATAATTTCTTATTTTAGGTAAATTTGGGGTTAGTGTTATATATACACCACAATTTGTTTAAAAGAAAGGTTAAAATATCCCTAAGAAATTAAATTTACTGTAATCCATCAACTTTACTTTATAGGTTTGATTGGTGATTTAACATAGTATAAACACAAAAGGCGATGCATACAAATTCAGGGTAAAAGCTACGGTTTATTTTTAGATTGATCGGCACTTAACAAAAAGTAAAAAACCATAAAAAACCATTTTCCTCTTATTAATATAAAAAAATTATGATAAAAATATTGAAATTAGTAATTCAAATGTCTCATTCTCAAGGTGTGTAAGCAAAAGAGTAGAATATGAAGAAGAAAGAGTCTAAAACATTGAGCAAATGAAGATGAGAAGAGGGGGTGGAGGTAGGTGGAGACTTGGTCAATGGAATGGAAACTAAAGACATTTTGAAGCTTCTAATTTCTTGGTCATGAACCCAATTTGGTTGAAATTTTGGTAACATTCCAAGCCTAAAGTCAACAAAATAATGAAGCTTTGCCTTTCTCCAACTATTTTTTTCTTTTTCTTTTTTTTTTGTCAAGCAAACAAAAATCCAAAATAGGTCATTACATGTTTGTTTTCCCTTCTTTCACATGTGATTTAAGGAAAAAGTATAGGTCATTACATGTTTAAATAAAGTTTATACTAGAAAAATAATTACTAAGAGAGCATCATATATGGTAGGATTTCTAGATTTTTTCTTCCATATGCATTAACTTTTTTCGAGTTTATTCTATATTCGTTCTTTTTACTTTTAATATTATGACTCCATAATTTTACTTTGGTCATTGTAGTTAAATAAACTTGATAGATTTCATATATTTTGTAATTTTATATCATACTTAATATATGGGTTGGAATACAAATATATTGAGACTTGCGTAACATTTATGTTAAACATAATCAGATTTCCAATGGTAAAAATATTTGTCTAATTTGGGTATAACAGTGCACGAATTTGCTTTGTTTATATATTATGGATCTTTCTCACTTCTAGTTAATGTAAGACTATGTTCGCACCTCCAACAACAATAACAATGGAAACGATTTTTTTTCTTTCAAAGTTTTTAAATTAAAATAGAAGTTTAAAGAAAAAAAAGGAAAGATAAGTATTTTATTATTTTAATAGGAAGGGGTTTTGTTGAAGTAGTTAGAGGGTTATTGTATTTATAAAGAATGAGAGATATTGAAAATATGGAATTGGTAAAGTCTAAGGTTTTGGAGTGGCATTGGAAAATTGGCATGTGATGCAATGCCAAGAAAATTAGAAGACATCCTCTGGTCCCCTTTCGACTTTTCCCTCTGTTTGACAGTGAGATTTAGAGAGAGATTCCTTTTTCCTTTGACCTTTTCCTTAGGAGAAAGCTTTATGAAGGAGATAGGATATACAAAAGAGAGTGAAATTACACCTCAAGGAAAAATGGAGCCAGAACAATGTCGAAGCTGCACAGCATGCCATTGGGGTCGAGAGGATAGCGTCGTGGTGCTACTTAATAGTGTAAAGGCGCTCTCGCAAGTCCATGAAGAAAAAGATGCAGTGCGAGCCACGTTATTGATACTAAAAAGTTTGTAGAGAGCATCTCAATGCTAGCCCAATTAATTGAATAGCTTAATTTTCATTGTTTTAATTCAACCTCTAATGAAGAATTTCCCTAACATTTTAGTGGAATGTGTTGCAGCGGTAAAGAATGAGATGTAGCCCCACATTGGATGTAGCCCCACATTGGATGAAAGTCTAGGAACATACATGTTAGAAAACTTTTTAGAATTCATATACGTATTAGACACGTGTTCAAAAGGGCCTTGCTAAACTTGTAAATTACCTAAAAACTTTTGTTAATATTTATTCTAACAATCATCGTAAGTAAGATTATTTGAGTCTTTCTACTGTGTTCTAAAGGCTATTATTCTGAAAATGGTTGGAAAAGTGACTGCGAAAACAAAACGTACAATAATTGAAAATGGATCCCATAGTAATATAATAGTTCCAAGGGGAAAAAACATGAGTAGAGGGAGAGGTGAGGGATTATGGGTTGGGTTGGGAGTAAAATTTAAAAAATTAGTATGTGGCCAAAAGGGAAAATGAAATGAAATTAGAATAATGATGATGATGATTGAAAAGATGATGTTTGGGCATAGGATACTTTTGAAACCTGGCATTGGCATTGGCAATTGGCAATTGGCAATTGGCATGCATGAATGAATAGGAGGGCTATGCCAAAAGATAGAGAGAAATTAAAAGAGGCCCATGTTAGGCACCATCATCAAACCATGTGCCCCCCTCTCCCACCTCACTCCTTCCACGCCTTCCACCCTTTTTCTACCTTTTTCCTTTTCATGTCTCCCGATAGCGGTGTTCAAAAAATTTGATGACTTAGAGTTTGTACGGATTTAAAAGGATAATGTCTAACAATTAAAGTTTTGTGTGACGTGGTGTGGGCGGAATGGATGTTGGTGGGTGTGGGTGGCTTGAGCCCTTCCATCAAGTGGGGGTGGCGCTCGGGGTCTGTCGAGTCAAACTAAAGGTGGGCTCTTTGACGATAATTGCACATGGTTGTTTCATTGCTGGTTGCCTATCGATGATAAAAAATAGTCTGGCTTGCATAGTTGCAGTTTTCAACCTTACTCAATTCTTACGGTTTAAGTTGGGTTATGAACTTATTTGAATTAGACGAGATTCAAATAATCGAAAATTCTATAGGTTGCATTGGTTCAATACTGTTTCTTTTACTCACCCTACAAAAATTATATAGGGATATATTTGTTTTAATTTTATTTTATTGACTAAATTTATGAAATTAGACCTTATTTAAGAATGCGAATGAAGATTTTCATTCCCTTCGATGATGTTTACTAGGAACGAAATCAATGGATGAAAACCAACTCAAACTTGGAATCAATCCTCTGAAAGAGGTTAATCTCATTTCGTCCGGTAAAATTTCATAAATCTCTAAATCTCATCCTCATTCCTTATACCGTGGACTCACACATTTTCAATAATCACACATTTCTATTCAATTTAACCCTTATTTAATTTTACTTTTTTATATATTATTAATTAATATTAATAGATTTGTTAACACATAATAACATAGATGGATGAATTGGTGCCAAGATAAAATTCGAAAGACTTTAGAGGAAATGGATTCAAATCATGGTTTCTACCTACTAGGATCTAATGCCCTAATAATTATTACATTTCTAATTCTTGGTAAGTAAACAGAAGTATAAAACTACATATTTAACTATTGCAAAATGCACATATAAAATATAATTATTAGTTATCACAGGCAAACTCTTAAACTTTGAATTTCCCATTTGGGAAAATTACAAAAGTCTCTCCTAAATTATAGAGGTGGTTAGATCACACAAGGATCAATTACCTGCTTTTTGTACTAAAAAAGAAAAGTTACCCTCTCTCTTTATTGTTTTCTTTCTTTTGATAACGGATCAATTACCCTCTTGAGGCCCAGAAAGAGAAACGAAGCCTTCCGAAACGGCCCAGAAACAGGACGTTTAAATGCGATGGGCCAATGCAAAAGCCCATCAAGACTAGCCTCTCAGAAAAGGTCCAATCATCAAAGCTGCCCATTCCACGCTCCGGCTCCGCCACTTACAAACCGGTTCTCAAGGTCAAAATTGACTTTTTATCCTTCGGATATATTACGACAATTCCTATACTTATTTGTTTCCATATATCATACTACATCGTGTAACGACATGTCGCTGACTCGTTGGTGAAGACGATGCGTCGTTCGTGTCTAATAAAACATTCTCCGGGGTGCGGATGACAGGGAGAGCGAGCTTTTTTTTGTCGCCGTAGCCCCCTCTCTCTGCCGCCCGTAATTCTGGTTTCTGCCCTGAGATTTTCGAGGAAGAACAGCGATACTAACAATTGAAGAAGATTAAGAAGAAGAGGGATTTTGAAGGGGGAGAGTTTGCGAGAGAAAGAAGATGAAGACCACCAAAGGAGGTAAGGTGATGAACCCTACCGATGCTTACCGCAAGGAGCTTCGCAAGAAGGAATTGAAACGGGTAATTGTTTCTGAGACCATTTATTTTGGGATTTTTCGTCTCCAGTCAACTTCTTAGTTCTCAATTTATCTCAACGCCGCCGTCTTCGAGCCTCATTTACGTTCGTCGTTTAGTATTGCTTGCCTCAGTGTCGTGATTTTTGCGTACCACCTTCTCATATCTCAATCAATTAAATTCGGCGGCACAATTTACTTATTGACTCGAATTAATCTTCTACTTAAATAAGACATTCTTGCTCGTTTGGGTGCAGTGAAGGACTTGGGTCCATAATTCAACTCTGAAGGGTTATGCCTGAATTTAGATTTAGGGTTTTACATTAGTGGGATATCACAGAATTGATCTTCGGCCTAGCTACCGCCTCAATTTTTCCATAGGAATCAGGGTGTTGTCAGAGACCATTCAGTATCGCCCTAAAAGTGTATTTTTAATGCAGTTAAACTTAATCCAAGTAGCTCTCTCTAATGTTCTTTCTTCATTCATATTTCCTTTGAAGAGGTATCTGGAAGTTATGTTTCTTCTAAGAAATTTCTTCTGAAGCCAGCGAACCTATTGAGAAGCTTATTGGGGTTTTCCTGTAGTAAAGAGTTGGTGAAGAAGGACATTGTCATTGCATTCGTTCGAGAACTGTTAATTTGTCTTTGGAGTTGCGGGCCCTAATTATTGGCTTGAAAGTCACAGCCCTTGCGTGTATAATATAAATAACTCTGGAGGATCTTTTTTCTTTAGGAAATAAGTTCTTTATGTTATTGGCATGAGGTTGGTCAGTAAGTACAGTTATGGTCGATATGGCTGGTTCAACTCTATGAATCAATCTTGAAGATGCAGATCCCCTTGGACTTCTATAGCTTCTTGTGAAACTCATATGATAATAATTTTGTATTTCAAGGTGGTAAAGGGTAGTAAAATCAGATTTTGGAAAGATGCCTGGTATCATGACATTCATTTTTAAGTCGTGCATTTTAGAAATTTTGGAATTTAGAACTTTGGAGGTTGAATTTAATTGTGCATCTTAGAGAAAACTATTTTTTTTTTGCGAACCATGTAAATCCCTTTGCTGTTGACCTTCTTTTGGTTATTAATGTTATTGTGATGTGATTGTCCATGATTGGATTCAAATCAATAACCTCTAATAACAGCTATTTTGTGTGCCTACCAGAATAAGAAAGAAAGAAAAAAGGTAAGGGAGGTGGGAATTTTGAAGAAAGATCCTGATGCAATCAAGGAGCAAATTCAAAAGTTGGAAATGATGAGTAAGTCGCAGCCTTTATGGACTTCATTCACTTAATTGCTGATGGGTTCTTCAATTTTCTTTGTTGATTCAAGAGATCTATTTTATTATCCTGATTCTTTACAAGCAATGTCGAAATGTTGGACTTTAGACTTTTATTTCAAATTTTAATTTATGATTGTGACTAATAGCTTTTTCACATCACTTATTTTTTAAAAAAATCTCTCTGATGTTTTGTGCAGAGGCTGATGGTGCCCTCGATAAAGCTAGAAAGCACAAGAAAAGACAGTTAGAGGATACTCTTAATCTTGTATTGAAGAAGAGGAGGGTAATTTTTATATTTAATATCTTATTGATAAAAGTTATTTTATCGCTAAGATATGATACATAATTGTTATGAGAATGAGAAGCTGATCCCCTGAAATTATGATTATTAAAAAAAGAAAAAAAGAAAAAAAAATCACTCATGTTGACGTTATTTAAGTTTCTCTGTTTCACCTATGGTCTTGTATTTGCATTAAAGGGGTATGTTGCAACTACTATGTGAGTTGAGCATTCATTATTCAACTATGTGATTTTTATTTTAGTTTGCTCATTGACACCAAGCTTTGATCCCAACAATCATCTTTCCGTTCTCTGTGGACAGGAATATGAAGACAAGATGAAGGAAAAGGGTGAGGTCCCAGTTATGTTCAGGTACAAAAGGCTCTCTTTCTCACGTTGCTCTTCATTGACTCAAATCTTCTTTCCCTTTTGGAAATATACTATGGTTTTTATATTCAAGCGCTATAATCTGTCTTCTGGCCAGTCATTTGGGACCTCCAAGAAGACGAACTGAAGAGGAAGAAGACAGAGCAAAACATCCAAATCCTGAAGTGAGCAACTCTGATTGATTATCTAGCCATTTATATTTCGTCCCTATCTTGCATTTCTGGATTTATGATACTTTTCTGCCACTTCAGGACTCTGTTTACCATCACCCCACGCTGAATCCCACTGGAGCTCCGCCACCTGGGAAGCCTCCAATGTTTAAATCATCAATTGGTACGACTTGTTCCTCTTCAATGTTGTTGTAAAACAACAGTTTACATGGGTGTTTTAATATTTTTATGCTCCAATGAGTTTTTGTTTGTATACGAACTGTAGGACCAAGAGTTCCTCTATCCGATGCTTCTACAAGTGGTGCTGCATCATCCTCAAACATGGAATCAGAGGATGTTCCCTTGTCTGTACCTCCACCTCCCCCACCCCCTCCTTTGCCAGATTCTGCTAAAATGGGTTCTGCTGATGGTCCTGCTCTACCTGATTCTCTACCTCTACCTCCTCCACCTCCATTGCCACCAAAGCCTGTAGCATCAAACTTGGGTTTACCACCATTGCCGCCACCACCTCCTGGTCCTCCACCAAGGGAACAAGTTGCAGGTCGCCCTCCCTTTTTGCTGCCTCCATCTTTGCAGCATTCTACCATGATGCACCCTCCTGGAACCAGTGAAGTTGAAAAAGAGAGAGGTCAGCCTGCATTTTTGGATGATTCAACCTCCAAAGTGTCAGCTCAGGTAATTTTTCTGTTCAACTTCTCTTCAACATGGAATGGGATTGAAAGTGGCTGAGGCTGACTGCACCTTTACGAGGCTCCTGGTTTCTTTAGCTGACTTGTCTGGAAGGATAAAAAATGTTTATATTTAAATACAGAAACTATAGGAACACTTGTAAACAAACTAACGTTCTTGTTGGTCTCATTCGTTTAGGTACCTACTACTCTCCCGCCACCTCCTCCTCCACCTGGGATGCCACCAAAGCCAGCAAGTGATCAGACTGAAGGTGCATCAGGTGACGAGGAGACAAATAATTCTTCAGTAACCAAAGACGTTTCTAAAATGGTTCCCCCACCTCCACCTCCAAGACCTTCTCCATTAGGTGGGCCCTCATTGATACCAACCTTACAGCCTGATGTATTACCCCCTGGAATATCTCGATTTCCCCCACCTCCACCTCCACCAGATATGCGGCCAACATTATCTGCACCCGGACTCCCACTCCCACCTGGAATGATGGTCCCAATAATGACAAGGCCACCATTTGGCCCTCCCCTTGGACCGCCGCCCATGATGAGACCACCTCTTCCTCCTGGCCCTCCCCCCATCTTTCACGAAGATGACTATAATGCATACATGCCACCTGTCCCTCAAAAGCCCTCGTATGTTAAATCTGCTGCATCTACTGTTGTTAAGCGTCCACTAGCTCAGCACACTCCAGAACTTACAGCAATGGTAAGTAGACTGAATATGTTAATTTGGTGCAATTTGATTTTAAAATTTGCAGTCATTGACTGGTAGGAATGTACGGGTACACTATCGCTGATTATCACAAACTTGTGCTTCATTAATGGATTTAATGTAGAATATTTCTAGCTGGCACCTGTTGTACATGGTTGGCAAGCCCTCAGGGGAAGGGATAACTATATGCTAAGGATGACAGGAAAATATATTTCAAGAAGACAACTACCATTTTTAATTAGTCAGCTACTTAAACTGATGATTAATTTTATAATTTTGCTTATGCTTTCCTATCCTAGCTGGAATCTTTGACCTCTAACCCAACTTTAAGTAAAATTCTTAAATAACTACATTGTTTAGTCTTAGAACATTTTGAGGGTGGCCTACCTTTTGAAATGTTATTGCAAAAAATGAGCTAATCGGGGCCTGGTCGTCAAGGGCAATTTATGCTTTCACCCCATATGCCCCTGTAGCTCTCCCCTTGACAAGTGTTCTACCTGCCTGAGCATGGAAATGGGATAAAATTATGATGTTGCTTGGCATGTCATTGATTAGATAAGACGTGGTTGGCCGTACTATTCTACTGTAAATCTACAAGTGACCTTTATGATAGTAGTGTATATAGAACATAAACGGTTCTAGTTGCATCAACATGTAGCTTTGATCCTTGGCATTTGGGAATTAGAAAGCTGCACTGGAAAATTTATCTTATTCTGCTCTTACCTCAGAAATATATCAACATTACTCTGACATTCCACACTTATACCTGCCATTTATTCAGGTTCCTGCATCAGTTAGAGTGAGAAGAGAGATTGCGGTCCCGAAAGCAAAGGCGAAGCCTTCTCCATCAACTGCAGCAGCACCGTCCCTGCCTGCAGCTCCTATTGTTGGGAAGCCGGAGTTGGTTAGCTCATCATCAGCCCCAAAGAAACAGAGTATCGACGACTCGTACATGGCATTTTTGGAGGACATGAAAGCCCTTGGTGCGCTTGATGGCTGAGATGTCGAATTGGTTTATATGGGAAATGGAGGCAGCAAGTGTAATCAAAAGGGAGGAGAAGCAAGTGGCTTGTACTTCTCTAGACTGAAGACAGATTTGGGGACCACCATTGCTTTCTGTCTTCAAGGTTTCTTTGCTGCATCAAAGGGTAGCATACCTGCATCAGTGCACTGCTGCATTTCTTGGTAGGGGCATTAACTTAGGCCTTATATTGTGTCATGTAGACATTTTTATACTTTGGAAAAGTTGGAAATTGTTAATCAGATTTTATTTCAAATCGACATCGAGCTGATCTTACACCATTAATTGTCATCAATATGAGAATAGCTTAATGGATAAGGAGTTGAAGGTTCAATCACCTACTTGAATTAATAAAAAACACCATAGTTCAATAACCTGCTTCATATTTGTTGGATCAAGAAAAGAAAAGAGAGAAATTTGACTGTTGTCAAGCAATTCATAAGAGAATTTATCTTAAAGAAATGAAATCATTTTATGAATAAAGTTTATTCAATAGGATAATTTCCCTAACTTTTGAAATCTTTTAAAATCAATGATCTTTCAGGGTTCTTTTTATTTTCCTCAGCCACCCTACACATCTCTAGTGTGTGCATATATAAAAGGCAGGATCTGGAGAAACTTTTTTTTTGCCGTTTTTACCCTTCATTTCTTATACTTTTGAATATTAAGTTGGAGGCAAATTGGTCATTTTACATGCAACTATTGAATTTCTTATAATTATTATGAATAAAGAGAAA